GTGTGTGTGTGTGTGTGTGTGTGTGTGTGTGTCATTAAATGTACCCTTTACTATCAGTAAAGCCTGCAGTGTGTCTGTCCCCATTTAGGGAATCCATGCACGACAGTACGACCAAAACAATTCTCCGTACTGAGCTTGACTGTGTGTTTGTATTTGCATAATGTCATGTAAGTGTTAGCATGTGGTATACTACTTGTGCATGAAAGCAATTGGATGAAATAAAAGTCAAATCGGTGACCGAGTTGGGTCAAGTTCCCACTGAGAGGCGGGAGGCAAACCCTCAAAGCCCCAGAGGGAATAACCCAGACACTAATTAAAAACATACTTTTATGTCTGTATTTGTGCACGAATAACCACAAGCTCGAGGAGGGCAGCAGATGTTTGTCCGTGTGTTTGGTGCTCCGTATATTGGCTCGTTTTAATATGTCTTGGATTAGGTTTTTCAATATGAGGAATATTAATAAGAGCTCCAGACAAGCGACCTACAGTTAGTAAGTCTTTGAGAAGCATCTTTATGTTGGGGCTGGTCCAAGGTGAGCACAGTTGATCTACTTTGTATACTTTGAAGTATCTTAATCTTTAGCATCTACTGTAAATTCGTCATATTTCATTAGGTCATGATGGTGAAAAATGCAGGGTAGCTTTGTGGCTAGACATTTGCAGGGAAGAGCAATAAAACAATACTTTTTCCAGAGCCGCTGTTCATAATGATTATTTTCATCCTTGTTAAATATGCTGATAACTTAAGCAGCAATCCTCACAATCATAAGAACGAGAGAATATGTGTAATGTTTCCTTGGAAATTATGATCATGGCTCATTATGATCAAATGACTCGTGGTTTTTGCTCTAATGGTGTGCTGTAAGCCAATGTGGGCTGGGTATAGCTGGATGAATGACAATGATTCATCAATACGCAGTTGCATACTCTAGTAAAGCTCATTTATTTTAAAACTCTACCTGAGTATAGTTTATAAATAAACGCACTCCATAATTCAGTTTCTTTCAACCTCATTTCACTCGCGCTGCCTTTTTCCCAGTAAAACGACAACCTCGTGCCATTAATTGCCATGCTCTGTTTGTGAGTGTGCATGTGTGTGTTTGTTTTGGGGTTGTGCCAGGCTGTCCTGATATCCCACAATTCTGCTCAGCTGCATAGAGCAGTGTGATAGGCTGGTGGAGGGGGGAACTGCAGCAGAGTAGCACCGCTGTCAGGAAACAGAAGCCCACTGCGAATGCAACTCGCATAACCAGCCGAACGAAGGACGGTTTACCTGGTAATAAACCTTTTTCTTTTGCTGATTTTCTCTTATAATCTTACCTCTAAGCTGCCTAACATGAGATGCACGCTTCCCGGTTTGCTCTGTCTTATTTCCTCTCTTGACATATTCGGGTCTTATGGTCACAACACCCGCGGCCGATGACAGATAATTAACATTTAAAAAGCACTTCTACTGTATTCAACCAGGCGGAAAAGACGTGGCTAACCGTGTCAGAAACATCGGTCATAACCTTTTCTATCCCGTTGTTTTGCATTGTAACGTTTCGGTGTGTAACATTGTAGCGACGTGGGTTTTTAACGCTGAATGGGCTTGCCTGCAGATGCTGGTTTTTGGAGCTAAAAGTCGGGTATTTCAAAGCAACAAGCCGCTTTAGGTACAGTAGGCTAACATGCTCCGGTTTCGAGGCAGAAAGTGCAAAATGGGTGAAAACTAAACGACAGAAATGCTTTTCCCAACCGAGAATCTGCCGTGTTTTCATCACTCAAGGGCATGCGCTGAGTCCCAAGCAAACACGGTTACATTTGAGGACAGTTAATGGATTACAATTGTTAAATTGTCGGAAGGTTAAGACGACATACTTTGGTGTTTTTGATCTGCAGTGCGGTAGGCGTGGTTAAGGGGCAGGAGGACACGGTCTGGATCAGCTTTTAGCATCCCCACATCCCTGTAAGCACGGAATGCAATGGCCGGAGTCTGACTTGACAATTTGATTAAGATGCACAGTAAGCTGTTGTTGCAGTAGCATTGAAAGGCATCAACATCAGGGGCCTTGTTTGCAGGCTTTCATAGTCACTGAGAGTATCTCTTGATGCCTACATTGACTTATAACAGTGTGTTCAAACATTGATATAGTTGTCTTTCTGTCCCACATTTACTGAAAATGTACTGCTGTTATTGTTTGATACGCTGAAGATCTTGACCTAACTACAAAACTCACATTCTGTTTGAATAGTGTAGCTTTGCAGGTCTAAGTAAGGTTGTAATGGGCTTTATTTAATCAGCCCAAAATCACACATGTCTTGGAGGGTTTTTGGATTTCTAGAACATACGACACCCTCTTTCCTTAAGCCCTTGATAAGGAAACACTGCAAATAATAGGATTAGATGACAGAGAGCCTACCACTGAGCACCAAAGGGACACAATGGGGTCATGCACAGTACAGGTAAAAGGGAGAATCATCTTTTATTGATTTTTCTTAGTAAAAAGTCAACAAGGGTCACTGCTTCTCATCCAAAACAAGCAACTTATTGACTGATAATAGAAATGCACAATGACACAGGGGACTTGTATAAAGCAAAAGAGCAACAGCCTCTGTTAGGGCTGCTGAGTCGACTACTATAGGGTTTGTTGTCAACTACAATTGATTTTTCAGCAATGTTATGCTTTGTTGTGTGGCTTATATCCAGGAAAATAAACACATCTTTGGAGAAACTAATATGTTAGTCAACCAGAACATATGAGTGTTTGTTGACTTAAGTTTTTTGTCGAAGTCAGCCCTACTTTTCAGAATGTATATCTTTATTTCCTACGTATATTTGTCTTCTTTTATATACAACTAAATATAAAACAAATGTTCTATGGTTGGTTTGATATAACAAGACATTTGAATATGTCAACTAAGACTTCAAAGAATTAGTAATAAACATTAGTGGCGGACCTATTTCTATTGAATACAGTACATACCTCAGGCTACGTTGGAGTACTGCCAAAGAACCAATAAGTATACAGATGAGAGTAATGTAGGCATGCCTGAACTGATTTCAACAACCAATTTAAACATTATGCTCTCGTGTGAACATTATCAGTAATCAAATCACAGCTGATTTAATGATTACCTATAGCTATAATCTCATAAAATGTATCCCTATTGGCCCATCCCAGCCACTGTATAAGACGCTATGAGCTCTTCGTCAAGCTACTGGGAATTAGTTTTAATCTTTTACAGTAACAGGGGATTTTCCCTCTGTTAAAGAAGGTTGTACAACTGGATCGATTGATGCTAACTCCAGACATACATGTATTTCAGGTGTTTTCCAGCTGTTTATGCTTGTGCCAGGCTTTCAAGGAAACCAACTCTGGTCTTGTAAGAATTCATGGCAACGAAGAATCTTGTTGAATATTGAAGTGCACAGTCAAGTAAGGATAACAATGGGTTAGCTGGTCTGTCTTCTGTATCCCTGAGTGCCTCGCTGCCGGTGACAGTAATGCTAAGAATGTAAACCCAGCAAGCCGACAGGATTTATGGCCTCCTCAGGAAAATATGCTCTCAGCTTGGAGTCACCTTCATGTGATTGGTCTGCCTTCCTCAAGTCCTGCAGTTGAGTGGTGTTGTGTCTTGTCTGGTTTCAGTCTAAAAGGGTTAAACTAAAACCTTTTTGAAAATGGATATGAGGAAAAAAAAGCCTCTGAAATGGCTACTTGTTCTAGCCGGTATGAGACGGTTTTTATGGAAAGTAATTACCATCAGTTTGGCAGTGGATTAGATCAATGGCTTATGGAGTCAGTTGCCAATTTCCTCCGATACAAGGCTGCAGTCTTATGAGACAATAAATCCTGCTTTAAGGTTTACTATGTTCCGTTTTTCTTTCAAATCGATTAGAGAGATGTTGATTCAACGTTTTGATCATTTTGGAAGCTGTTGTGGTCCTGTTAGATTGTATTGTTTTAACTTATTTGTCCATATTTCTAAGAGTTTGCTAAATTACTGAAACATATCTCTTTATAAAGAATCTTAAGGGGACTTGATGCCTCTCTAAAACTACGTGAATAAACAAAGAAGCTTCATTAAGGTAGTCTCTATTAGCTTTAGCAATAGCCAATATCACGAATCATCAGCTCTTGGATGTTTTGCTGAGTCACTGTTGGTAGGAACTTCCTAAGTTTGAACGATGTTCTTTAGTGGGTTGCATTATTGATTGGTAGACTGTTTTGTTTTCTCTGTATTTGAAATATTACCTCCCAGAACTGCTTAGTTTGTTCTGCACCAGAGCTGGAGAATGTTCTGGCTGAACACTGAGGTAGAAACAGATCTGGGTTGTTTATATTTCTTGAATTCTTTAGGACAGAACTACACTGTACTAACCTGTGTGATGTTATTAAGAAACATTTTATACATGTCTTATGCCCTTATCAGCTTTGTCAGAATGTCTATTAGTATCTTGTTGGGAAGGTCAGTCACTTGTTGTTGCGTTTTTTTCAGTGGGCAACATTGATTCTCACTAGAGCGTCAGACTAATAATTAGTTCCTCGTGTTGCTTGCTTCACCAGTTTGAGTGGACTGGAGATCAGGTAAAAACATGTTGGCGGCTGTCAAATTTGTTCCACCTCCTCTACTCTTCAATCCAGTTGCATTTTGGCGCGATCAATTCCAGTCTTTCTTGTTTTACCTTCTTAACTTCATTCTAGGACTGCAGGTTTCCTTAAAGTGGACCTATCATGCTATATTTGAATAATATATTGTAGGGCCATACCTATATAAAACATGATGTTTTATATAGGTATGGCCCTACAATATATTATTCAAATATAGCATGATAGGTCCACTTTAAGGAAACCTGCAGTCCTAGAATGAAGTTAAGAAGGTNTTTTATACGTGAATATGTGTCCCCGGTGTTCCAGGGAACTCACCAAGTGTCCGAAAACACAACCCTCTCTCTTTTCCTCCATACCCAAATCTCTAAAAACGGGGCTGCAACGGAGCTGATACAGATTTGAATTTTTCTGACGTCAGAAAAGGGGTGCTCCGCCTATATGGGCAACTCTCCACCTATCAGGGGAATGGGGGGTTGGGCCACGGCCATTGCCGTTCGAAAGCGCTGGAGACGCTGTAGTACATATGCCAGGCCTGTAGGTGGCGCTGTAGTCTGCCACAAAAGCAGCGAAGAAGACTTCTCAGAATCAGCCCTTGTGAAGACAGGGCTGGAAAAGAGCAAATAGAGCGAAATGAGGCATGGCTAAAATGCATGATCTGTTTGGTATTTTGAAAAAAACACTTCACAGACATTTTTTATATAGGTATGGCCCTACAATATATGTTTCAAATATAGCATGATAGGTCCCCTTTAACTAAAGGATCAAGAACGTGTATAACCTAACCTATAACAATACACAGTATAATGTGTTATGGTTGTATTAATAATCTCATTGCAAAATGAATTAAAGTTAAGTCAAAAGTACAATAAAGTTCCAC